AAAAGAGTTTTAAGGAAGCAGCTTTGTATTCTTACATCACTTCTTTAAAATCGTGTTTTTGTTGCTGTTGAGAGGAGGAATGGGACAAAGTCTGTGTGGGGAAGTAAGAGCTCTCAGACACTACAGAGCTCAGCAGGTGATTAGTCTCATGATGACACAGCTGGCCTGGGTAACAAACAGTAGACAACAGAGAATTTCTTCTCTGTCTTAAGAGGGTAGCAAAGTGTCCAGGAAATGAACCTCAGGCGGAATGATACAACTTTGGTCTTTTTCAGCCCCTAAAATCCAAACTGTTTTGTTTTGAGTCCCAGAGAAACCATAGCACAGGCTAAAAAGAACAAAACAAAACAAATAAAAACCAATCAAGTAGGGAACAGAGATAGCTCAGTCTGAAAAGAAGCACGAACATACCTGGCTTGGAGCCGACACTACCACACGGCAGCTGTGACTGTCTACACTTTTGGTGTCTACACCTGTGACATGGTGTATCATCTAGATCACATGGACTCTGATAAAGCAGGTGAGAATTAAAGAAGGGTCAGCTGGTGCACGGTTTAATGCCGGTACTCAGGAGGCAGAGTCTCTGGGAGTTCCAGGCTAGCCAAGAGAACCTGTCTCAAAAACAGTTAAGATATGCAAAGTGCCTGGATCAGAGCAGACACTCGGCTAAAGTTCACAGGCAGCCCCTCCTCTCACCTCTCTGGAAACGCAGAGTGATGGATCAAACTTCCTTTATTCTCAAAACTGCTGTTCTGAGAAAAAGGCAGAAAAGAGCAGCTAAATGGAACCATAAATCTCCTTGATCTCAAGTTTTAAAGGAGATAAGCCACGGAATAAACTAGTGAGAGACAGAAAGAACGATGGAATTATAAAGCCCATAGCAAAGGTATTGAGATTTATTAATCTTCTCCACTTGCCTCTTAGCAGTGATGATGAGATTTTATTTCATGCTCAGTGAAGGGAGAAATCACCCAAACTTGGAAAAGTGAAATTAGAAGTGTTTCATAAAAAACAACGCTTGCTGCCATTTCCAGATGTCTTTTCAGAAAACAATTTCAAAGTGAACGAACAGCCTTTTGGTCTCTCAGCTGGGATGCCTCCTGTGCAGCTGTCTGTGGTCTGTCCAAGGCAGAACGACAGTAGACACCACTGTGAAGACACTAAGGCACAGCACTGCCCAGGTGCTGTCGGGCATACAGCCCTGAACTAGTGTGACAGGGCTGCCCTGACAATATTCTGTAATTGGGTGGCTTAAACAGCAGAAACCCATTTTCTTAGGATTCTGGAAGGTCTAAGTGTGGCACTCTACTCGGTTTGTGGGTGGCTGCCCAGACTGCTTCTCTCTCATCGTCTCTCTGTGCATGTGTGCTCTGGTGTCTCTTGATGTGCCCATTTTTTTCTCATAAAGGCAACATCAGATGATCTGGACCCCATCCAGTGGCCTTCTTAGGACCTAGTTACTTGTTCCAGTACCGTCTCTGAATATGGCCATCTTCTGAGACAGCGGTGTTACGGCTGTGTGTTACTTTTCCATTATGGCGGCTAAATAACCTGACAGAAACAACTCGAGGTAGAAAAGGTTTTGGTTTGCGGTTTTCATCATGGTGGGAAGATGCAGTGGGCAGAGCCAGTGTCAGGGAAAGCATGGGGTGAGGTCTGCTCACATGGTCCAGGCCAAGAAGCAGAGGCAGGGTTAGGCTGGAATCAGAGGTGGGTGTGACCTCCAAAGGCTTGCTCCTGGGCACTACATCTGCCAGCCAGGCTCTAGCTTCAGAAGTTGCACGTCATTCAGAGTTGTGCCGTGAACAGGGGACCCAGCATTCCAAGGATTAACCCATGAAGACATTTCAGATCCAAATGGTAATAGGCTACAGCATATGGATTTGGGAGGGACATGATTCCGCCCACAACAAAACACTGACTCACGTAACCACTTTATGAATGAGTAGCCAGGCTTGGAGGGAATAACTAACTCATCGCCTCATTAGTGCCCAGGCCAGCGCTGTCTGCTAGCTAGACTTCCTCAAAGGGATTCTTATCTAGTAGAAGACAGCACTGATGGACCAGTCTGAGGAAGAGAGCTACAGGTTCAAAGGCCCAGTCACTGGGCTGTGTCGCTATGTGGAAAGAACAGATTCTGGGTGAGTAAGTGTTTACACGACACTCAGTAACTCTTAGGCTGAAGCCCCTCCTCCACCCAATAAAACCCATGTCTGGCTCCCTCTTCTGAGGAACGCCTAACTGGAGAAAAGCCCAGGCCCTGTGTCTTGAGGATCCCACTCGTGCTTTTAGGAGTGTTCAGCTAGATGGTGGCTGGCCAGCCACCTGCTCAGCCCTCTGCGCGGACTGTACTCTTGTTTCACATTTGCTTAAAGTACCTTGGTACTGTACGCTGTACCTGTAACTGTATCCTATGGAGCTATATTCTGTGTTAAATGACAATTATAAAGGTAAGCAGGTAAACTGTTTACATTCCCAGATGTCATTAGACTTGCAAAGACCAGTCTGGTGTGCATTCCAGGAATCTAGACATAGGACATAAAGTCTAGACTATACAGTGCTTTTACAAAAGTTGTTGGATGAGGTCTACTGCTGGCTTCTGTACTGAGGAACAGACTGAAATATTCCAGTTAGAATACAAATCTTACAAGGGCACAGCATGCTGCATATATGTATATACATAGATATGCAAACATATATAACTGTAGCATCTCTAGTATATACATATATTATAATATATATTAGACTTAAAATATACAGTTCAATATAAACTTCCACCTCCTCAAGATACACATATGCAAATATTCTAAAATCAAAAAGGAAAAGTAAATTAAAAGTCTAAGATACCACTGTTACCAAATGTGTGGGTAAAGGACGCTCAGGCTGTGATAACATGAATATTTACACACAATCCTCTAGACTCCTAAGGCTCCAATGACTGATTTTCTCTATTCTGAAAAGCTCCACTTTAAACTCCATTCTCTGCAAGTTTACCATGGTAAGGTAAGTAGCAAAAATCAGAGTCCTGAGGTTTTCCTAAAGACAGCCCTCTGTGTATGACTAAAGAAAGCAGAATGTTGCCAGACACAGTGGTGCACACCTTTGACCCAGTACTGGGGAGGCAGGGGCAGGCAGATCTTGGTGACTGAGGCTAGCTTGGGCTAAGTTAAGTAAGTTTCAGGTCAGTTTTATATAGTGAGATTTCATCTCAAAAAAACATTTTAAAGCAAAATGGCACCTAACTAGAATATTATGGGCTGGAGCAATGGCTCAGAGGGTAAAGGCGATCGCTGGCCATGAAGCCTCATGTCCTGAGTGAGCACACTGGGATACCCATGGTGGAAAGAAAAAAATCGGCCCATCTTCTGGTCCCCACCCCCACAAATCAATCAATAAATGTAATATAAGAGTTAAAAACAGGCATTATGACTAATTTTCTGATTACACGAGAGCTGATTACATAATTGCTTTGCTTCAATCATTGTTAAATCTTTTTGGGGATGCACCAGACTGAAGTGTTCCCCTGGGCGCAGTGGAGGAGAATCTTTGACATCTAACACTGGCCTGACTCTCCTGATGCCTTCTCAGCCTTGTGTGCTCGGTCTCCGGCAGCACAAGGGAGTTAGGCTGAGTGAGATCAGCTCTCAGGCGTCTCTGCGGACCTTCACTGCAGGTGCAGTGCTTGTTAGAAATTACAGGCCTCCAGAAGAAGCCCTGCTTAACTGCAGGAACCTATTCTGGGGTCCCACGTAGCTCAGGATGGCCCTGCCCTTTCCAGGTAGCTGAAGATGACTTGACTGTCTGACCCGCCTGCCCCTCCTTCCAGAATCACAGTGCCAGCTTGCTGCTTTGTTTTGTTTTTTTTTTTTGAGATAGGGTCTCACAATAGAGCCCAAGCAGGTCTAGAACTCATTATGTAGCCCAGGCTGGCCTTGAACTTATGGCAATCCTCCTGCCTCAGCTTTCTAAGTGCTGGGATTGTAGGTGTACATCAAAGCTGGCAATGACTATTCATCAGATCACTTACAAATTAAGACAAGAGCAAATCCTAAAGCTTGATCCGCTTTACTCGGCCTTCTATTTCCCCGGATCACGAGTGTCAGAGAGCTCGCTTATAAATAGTTGGAATTAGGCTGTGACTTGCCCAACTGTGGTAACTAAGTCAGGCGGGGATGGGAAGGCGGAGTGCAGAGAAGAACCGTGCGGGTGTTAAGTGAAGTGAGAGCCTTCTTTTCATGGACTTTTAGTGACACTATTTAATGGTTTTGAAATTTCAAGTAATTCTAAAGCAGGGATTATGCTGGAATTAGGAGGTTGTAAGGGAATTAAAAAAAAAATCTCTAAAAATTAGGCCGTTTTAAATCTCTAGGCAAAAACATACATAGAAGGCATTTGATGAATGCTCTGAATAGAACCAACAGCAAAACCTCCAAACCCAACTGGCCAGGACACAGTGTGAAAACATTAGCACTTCTATGGCGGGGCATCTGGGGCCTGAACAGCATGACCGTCTCCATCTTGAGTGGAGAAGTGAGCGTACAAATCTCCAAGCACAGCGAGACGCCTCTGCAACTCTGCGCACAGAGATTTCATCCTGACAGACAGTCTGTGCCTCCAGCTGCTGGTGCCTTTGCAAACGTTCATAGGAAGGACTATTACCCCTTCTCCTCTCTACATTCTGGTGCCTTCCATGTAATGAGCACAACACTGGGAAACATGTTAGGGCTAGGCCTGCTCTGACACCCACATTTCTTTCTCCTTAAATGGGGGATCCAAAGACAACTAAGATTGATAATCTCTTCACCTCTGTGTCCTAGAACCACACGGCTGCACGACAATTCCTGCGGAATACGGCATTTCCCATCTGCTCCTGCCTTACAGATCAACCACAGAGCCCACATCCACCATCCTCACGGCTGGAGGGAGACTGCAGGAAAGCCTAGAGGCCCTGACCCCAGGCTCGACGTGTACATGAGGAGCCTCGTCCAGGCGACACCTACCTCCAGCTTTAGAACGTCATGCTGAAGTTTACGCTGAAATTCCAGGAAGTTTTTAATGGTCAATTTCCCTTTCAGGTCAGCTCCAAAAAAGTATGTCGTGAGGGCCGAACATAAGCCAGACTTGAGGGTGTTCCCAGTAGTTGGGCGATCTCTGTGACGCATACCCATGCTGGTTTGGGAGCGGATGATGCTCTGAACCTAGAACAGAAACATATTCCTGCCCTTAGACTCAGGAGGGTGAGACACAGGATAGGTTACCTCTGCAGACTCTGTGTGAACACTGTACAACACAGCAACCTTAGGAGCCATGTCCTATTATCCCCATTTTACAGATGAGAAGACTGTGGCATAGAGAGTTGTGTAGTGGCATTGAGGAGTAGGAGGACGGGATTCTGACTTGGGAAGCCTGGCAATTGTATGACTGGAAGCCTCCTGAAGAGCTTGCTTTCAGGAAAAGATTTGTTTGGGCTGGTGGGGGCAGAATGGTGAGAAACCTCTCCTACAAGGATAGTCATCTTTATGGCAACACTGTCTGTGTCTTCGTAGGTTTGAACATCCCACACTTCCCAGTCTACTCTAGATATGGCAAGAGGTGGCATGGCTGTCCAAAAATTCTTTTGATTTAAATTACTTTATGCATATGGCTGCTCTGCCTGCATATATGCCTTTGTGCCATTTGTATGACAGGTACCCACAGAGGCCAGAAGAGGGCTTTGGATCCCCTAGGACTGGAGTTAAGATGTTGATCCACCATAGGGGTGGTGAGAATTGAACCTGGGTCCTCTCGAAGAGTGTCGAGTGCTCTTAACCACTGAGCCATCTCTCCAGGCTTACATGCAAATTCTTGACGTCTAAATATATTAGAATGACTTATGGTATACGAAGTCGGTATAAAATAAGAAAATGCAGGCAATGTCTTCAGTCTTTGAGAAGGGTTCATCCTGGGGACTAACAAGAGTGGCCTCCACATGCGCGTGAGCTTTCTTGGGCAAGTCTGTGGTTGCCTTGGCTCCCACTAGTGCCCGCACTTATGCTTGCTCCCCACGGGCCAAGAAAGACTGAAAGCGGGAGTCAGCACGACTTGCCTGCTCAAACTCCTCCATGTCTACTTCTCCGTCTCCGTTCAAGTCAAACATCTTGAAGGCAATTTCAAAGTTCCTCTGAGGAGCTGCAAGGAGAGACGGAGAAAGGAAGGAACACATCAGTCAAAACGTAAGTCTCTCCAGAAACGTGGCTTAACCCTAAAATAATACCCAAATCAGAAAAGGACACTGCTAGATCAAGTGTTAACTCCTTAAAACCCCGAGGGTTCTGTGACCAGTAAAAACTGCATTTTCCTGTTTTTGTATTTCAACCTTTTTACATTAAAAGAAAAAAAAAACAGAACATTTTATAGATGTTTTGCCTACATGCATGTTTACACACCAAGTGTGTGTAGTGCTCGTGGAGGGCAGAAGAGGGCGTCAGATTCCCTAAGCCTGGATTAACAGTGGGGCAGGGGTGGGGGTGGGGTGTGTGTGTGCTGGGAGTCACACCTGGATCCTTTGCAAGAGTAGCCAGTGCTCTAAACCACCCCTAACTACTTTGGCTTTGCCATCGGCTGTAGGGTACTCTTTCCCACGTTTTGGTTGTTGCTGGCTATACATGCTAAGCACGCACACCATGTTTTGAATACGCTATTATTTACTGAGTCGAGACAGCCTGTCTAGGATGAGCCATACTGTTGCAGTGCAAGAAGGCAAGAGTCTAGGCCTCTGCTCTTGCCATTAAGCAAGCTAGCTTTCCAGGCTGCTTTTGTCAGTGAGTGTCACGTTCTGTGGGTGCCACTTTGCTGTGGGGGCTTCATGCCATCAGTATTGCTGTAGGACGGGAAGGCAGATGTAAGTCATTCAACTCCACGTCAACACACTGGCCTCATTCACCAAGGGAAGCATCCTTAAATGCTAAAATTTAGTTGACGCTTAACCCCCCCCCCCCAACAACAACAACAGACAAGATAACTCCACGAAACTTCAAATACTTATTCTTAAGTGAGTGATTAAAGCCCCTCTACCAGGCTTTAGTGTTTCAGAATCAATGAAAACGCAATTATTACACTTCTTGTGTCATAATGAAACCAATTAATGGCTGTTCTCCTGTGCACTATTAAGTATTCTGGTAAAGAAAAAGACAGTATCTACTACCCCCTCCCTTCCTTATGTGCTCCCAAACTTGCAGACCTTTAGAGAATAACTCAAAGTCTGCCCCAATACCACTGAGAATTTTCAGTTATCATTTTTACTAAACAAACAAAACAAAACGAACCCCTAAACCAAACCGAGCAATAACCGTGAGGATTATTTGTAGACACAGAGGTGTGATGAGTTTCGCACAGCATGCATAGCCAGAGAGTCCAAGCCGCCACTGTGAGTCTGTCAACAGCAGTACTTCCTGGGTGCCAATTTTCCTTTCAGACCCCCAGGCAGCTGGCTGGAGAGTTCCTGGCTTGTGCTTGCCTGTTGCCATGGTGGATGCTGTGCCTGTCGGCTTCTAGCTGTCTGATTCACTTGATGTTGGCATCCAACAGATTCATGCCTCTTCTGTTTCTTGGTCTGCTGGCCTCAGCCTCCAGAGCACACTGCCATCCCTGGTCCGTAATGATTGTTCTTTAGGCCAGAGCTACAATTGCTGAGTAGGACACCACTGGAGAATTTGATTCTTATGTTCATTGGCATCTTTCTTTCTCCTTCCTCCTTTTATTTTTTTCAAGACAAGGTTTCTCTGTGCAGTCCTGGTTGTTCTGGAACTTGCTCTGCTGTCTAAGCTGGCCTCGAGATCGGCCTGCCTCTGCCTCCTGAGTGCTGGGATTAAAGGCATGTGCCATTACCACCTGGCTATTGACACTTTCCAAAAATGTTCTGTCTAATCTTCTGCTAAGATGTTAGTGTCAAACGTTGGGTTTTTTTTTTTTTTTTAAAGATTTATTTATTTTATTATATATGAATACACTGTAGCTGTCTTCAGACACACCAGAAGAGGGCATCAGATCTCATTACAGATGGTTGTGAGCCACCATGTGGTTGCTGGGATTTGAACTCAGGACCTCTGGAAGTGCAGTCAGTGCTCTTAACCACTGAGCCATCTCTCCAGCCCCAAACGTTGGGTTTTTGTTGTTTGTTTGTGAGACAGGGTGGTCTCATGTTGTAGTCCTAGCTGGCCTGGAACTCAGTATGTAGACCAGGCTGGCCTCAAACTTACATTGCTGGGATTAAAGGCAGGAGCCACCGTGCCCAGCTTGACTCAAGCATTAAGATGGATAATTTCATCTATTTACTGGTGGATTTTGTACTTGCAATCTTGAAGGTTTAAAGGAGAAAAAACAGGACTGGAGAGATGTCTCAGGGGTTAAGAGCACTGGGTGCTCTTGTAGTAGACCTGATTTCAGTTTCCTGCACCCACATGGTTATCTGTAACTCCAGTTCCAGGGGGCTCTGACTTCCTCTTCTAGTCTCTGGTGGCACTAGGACTGCACAGGCATACAAAGAGGCAAAACATGCGTACACATAAGATTTACCAAAAATTAAATCTGAGTGGTCAGATTTAATGGGCCCTGAGAGTGGTCCAGGCTGTGGGCTTCGAGGGGGTGGGGTGGGAATGGGGCAGGTGCAGATTTGCTCTGCTGTGTATCGTGAAAGATGCAGAAGGCGGCTCTGAACATCAGGGCAGGTGGTGGCACTGGGCTAGCCCTCTGCTAGTGAGTGGCTGCTGGCAGATGACAGATGATGATGCGTTTCACCTGGCTTTGGGATGAACAAGTCAGGAGCTGCTCCTGATGCTCCACTGGCCTCTCACCCTCTGCAGGGTCAGCAACCTGCAGTTATCGATCGGGATGTGTAGGGAATCAGGTAAAAGGTTTCAGATAGACTACCTAATATCTGAACACTGGGATCATGCCTAAGACCCAGGGAAATATCAAGCACTTCTGTCTGGCTTCTTTTCAAGAAATGCGATTTATAGGTTCCCACTCCGACAGCTGGAGGGCTGTTGACCCAGAATGTTGAGATTCCTGCTGATGGGTTCCAGAGTGTGTTTGGAACCAGTTTTGGCCACAGTAATCCTGATTTGTGAAATGGAATCTCTTCTTCGTCACAGGGACAATCCCTCTCAGCTCTTGTGGACTTCCTCTGGCAATGTAAAGAATCTAATTTCAGTCTCGAGGATATCAGGCACCACAAAGGCCAGGAAGTAATTAAGAAACCCTGGCTTTGAAAGTAATTATTATGTCAAGGGCTAGAGACGGACACAGATGGAGACGCCGCTGAAACTTTTACTGGACCGTATGGGGGCTGGAAAGCATGTTAGGATTACCATTCAAAAACCAGGTCACCCAGCTGACGGCATCATTCCAAACATCTGTTTCTTCTCTTTAAAAGCATTTTATTTTTCTCAGTATCAGACAGTGGGTTCAACAGTGAGTCTGGCCCTTAATATGATCTCTGCAGACTTACTGGTTATGAGCAATCTCCTCCCCCTACCCCTTTTGGTTTTTCTAAGACAGGGTTTCTCTGTGTAGCCCTCACTGTCCTGGAACTTGCTTTGTGGCCCAGGCCATCCTCAAACTCACAGAAGCACCTGCCCCTGCCTCCGAGTTGCTGGGATTAAAGGCATGCACTACTATGCACGGCTAAACAGTTTATCTTCATTGTCATGTGTCACTGGAATGAAACATACAGCAAAAAGTTACTTATTCATGTTTCAAAGAAATCTAAAAAGTTCCAAAAAACTTCCCATAGGCCATTTGCTGGTATCCATTGCACAACAGAAGTGGAAGAAAATTGTTAATTTTCTGAGTCAGATAAGTACGTAAAACTTTTTCTCTTTAAATCTTAAAGATTATACCTGAGCCCCCTTCGGCATTGAAACAAAATGATAAAAATGGCTAGATTTTATCAAAGATACAGCCACCTTACTGCTTAGAATATAATGAAGCCAGTAAAATATTGAGTTAAAACAACAAAACCAAAGCAGAACAAAAGGCACCCAGAGGAGTGAACTGAGGCTCAGAGTGGTTAACCTTGTCTAGAGCATCCCAGTACGTGGCTGGCCTGGAACTGGACTAAGAGCAACCTTGACTCCTGCCTTGAGGCTCACACTGTGATGCAGTAAGAACACAGAGACACATTCATCTGGAATAACTCACTTATTTCATGCTGAGATGTTCTGACCTGAAGACAAAACAGGAACTGAGCTGGTGCTGCGTCAGTCTCTACAAAGGCTGAGAGCTCAGGGTGCTCCTCTCAGTGAAACCTGTAGACACGCTTCTCGGCAGCTTAGACCTGGCTCAGGTCTAACCTCAGACCCAGACTCTTGGAGCTGTGCCATGTCGTTCAAGATTCTGGACATGAATCATGCTCTCCCATTCTTCCCCGGTATTTCTCTCTAGGCCCCCTGCACTCACCGATGCTATGTGCTTAGTTTCTGTGATGCCCGAGGTTTTAATGACAGCGGACAATATGGAGACCCTGAATTGGTCCAACTGGGCATTTAGAAAGGACTTGTCTGGCCAGCGTTGAAGGATGAGCTGTAAAGGAGGCGAGCTGCAGAGCAGGTTGCAGCTTGTAAACTGGAGGATGTGAACTGAGGTGTGGGCAGTGCTAATGGAGAGAGGAGGAATCCACAGCGCCTGAGGGAGGCAGGGACTGTGGAATGTAAGGTTAGTTAGCTGAGGTGGGTGGACAGTGAAAAGGGGTGACGTGACCGGCTTACATGACTGGGTATCTTATATGTCATCTAAAGGAAGGAATTAAACCCGTGTGAAAGCGGTGACATAATGAAGTTGCTGCCATGTTTAGGGACTCCGAAGCACACTCTGATGGGGACGGTGAGGAGACAGTGGAAATGTGGACTGTAGGTTAGAAGGTTAGGGTATATTGTGTGTTCAGCGGCAAGGAGTAAGACATGAAGCTGTCCCCCGAAGAACTGAGGGGTAAAGAGAAGGCTGCGGCAAGCATGGAGCATGGGAAGAAGCCGGTGTTTAAGGAGCATGGAAACGGGAAAGCAGCAGCAGAGCAGAGCAACAGGAAGACGGCTAAAAACTGCCAGAGCCAGCCCGGCATTCCCACGCACGCCCTGTCGCTCTCCACTGCACAGTAGCGTGGAGTGCTTGCGATTCCATCGTCTCTTATCCTTTTTCCATTATATTTATTTTACGTGTGTGTGTGTGTGTGTGTGTGTGTGTGTGTGTATGTCTAGGTCAGAGGTCAGCTTTCAGGAGTAGGTTCTTTCCTTCTATTACATGAGTTCTGGGAGTTGAATGCTGTTGTCAGCCTTGACAGCAAGCACCTTAACCTGCTGAGCCACCCTGCCAGCGCCATTTAAAATTGCATCTTTGGAGCATCTGTATGTACGTGTGTGCACTGGCTAAAGTACACATGTGGAATCAGGGGCAACTTTGTAGGACTCAGTTCCCCCCCTCTACCATGTGCCTCTCAGGGGTTCAACTCAGGACACGAGGCTTGGTGGCAAGTGCCCTTATCTGCTGAGCCACCTTGATGGGCCCAGTCTTTTATTCTTACTGTCCTTTAGTTTCATGAAGTTATATGCACAATTATTTAAGTGACTAAATGAGTCTTCCATCAAATCAGGGTTAATACTTCTTACAACTAAGGTTAAATTCATTGTACCAACAAGAGAGCACCCTATATGTGCAAGTTCCTGTGACTTTCTGTCCTGCTTGGGTCCTCTGAGCCAAGCATGGGCTGTCTATGGAGCTACTCCAGTGGCTTATTAAGGCACATGCAAGGACACACCAAGGCTGGACTTCTGTCCTCTGGCACTACAGAGGTTAAGCCCCACAGCCGCTGTCCCATACATTATCATTTGAGCATGCGCAGGATCTACGTCAATGTAGGTCCCCCGTCAGGAATCCCCTCAATCTGTTTAGTCTTCCACCAAACACATCAAAACATGCAAGACAAACAAGCCACAGACCAGCATGCCTTCAAGACATGCTGGTGGGGAATTCTCTGGGAAGCCGCCCAGCTTCCCTTCGCTGTGATTGTAAAATCTAGCTGTCCGGCAAGCTTCAGGGGTCCTAGGTTTATGGTAACTCAGGATCTGCTTCCACAGGAAGGCTAGAGGCATTCTTTTGAACTTGAGGCTACCCACAGAGTGAACATCGAGGCTCTCCCTTTCCAGAGCCACGGAACCTATTTCCTACATGATTTCTATGGTCTAGCCACATGCTGGAATGGATTAAGAGGGACATGGCAATCTTTCCTTGCTAGGCTGTGGGGGTGTATCAGGTCTAATCCAGTTACAAATCTATTTTCTCAACAGTTTCATACCATGACACTAATGATAGCAACAATAACAACTCTGTACTACCCCAGAGCACATTTTAAACATTCCAATTCAGTAATAATAAAAAAACAAGTGTCTTCTGTCTGCATGCATCGAGTCAAACATTCAGATGGCAAGAGCAGTAGCCACTTTGGGGCCACTAAGCTTATGCAGAAAGGGGGGTGGCGGCTCTAATCGCAATTCTTCTCACAGCGGGAGTCCCCTGCTGCCTGTGACTGCCCTTCAGTTACTGATGGAGCCTTGAACAAAGGGACAGGTTGCCCTCTAAGCAAGCTGACTTTCAGTTAACCTGACTCTCCAGTCAGAGAGCTACTACCCATTCACATCACTCTTGCTTATAATGGACTCTGTGGGCTACAGTGAGATAACTGAGGTGCAGTAGCAGAGGACAGGAGACAGGAGAACCTTTAGACCGTGAACCTCCATTCAGGGGTTGGCTTCTCTGCTATATCTGAACAGCTGATCAGACAGTCTCTGATTATCTGAGACGGAAGTCCCCACTTCTGAGACCCAAACTCTGCCAACTATGTTAACTAGCTTTCTTATGTAAGAGCCCCGATCTACTGTGTAGCTCTAACACAGTTTCATTTGCTGGAGAAATAAAAAACCAGATCTGCAAACCCCCAGAACCATTATCCTATCCCTCCCTGCCAGGACTCTCAGACTTGCTTGAGATCTTGAGCATCCCAAAGGTCTATTTGTGAAGCACCATAAGCAGGCAATACCTCATAAAGCAACATTCTAAATGCAATTACTTCTGGACTTGATGTGCTTTTGAGAACAAGACTACATTCTTTGTTTTTAAATAACGGTCTAGGTTATCACATGATGCCAGACAAGACTATATATTTTTTTTTAATTAATGGGCTAGATTACTGTGTGATGCCCTAGTGTCTTGCTCTTGTAGAGTTGGGGGAGGGGGAACTCTGTAAGAGGGACTGGAAGACCTGAGTTTGGTTCCCAGTACCATATCAGGCATCTTATAAACACATATAACTCCAGGGGACCCGACATCATCTTCTGGCCTCCACAGGCGTTTACATATATGTTGAAAGGACAACATAGGCCCCATTTGTCTCCATCTAAGGACCAGGTCTGATTTCCAAAAAGGCCGTAAGTCCCAGAAACTAGGTCATAAGACACCAGCTCTAAGAACAGACCATAGAATCCAGGACAAGATCATACAGCCCCTCCCAAAGAACAGCCTGGGGAGAACCACAACAATGGGGAAATATCTTATCTCAGGATGGGCCATCTGTGCTGGGAAGCCCTATGTCATCACATGGTTGAACGTTCATGACATAGGAATGCAGACCACTGACCACCTGTGACCCCCTAGCACCCACCAGTGAAATTTTAGATTACTTAATCCTTCTAGAGAGTTCCCCAGTTCCCTATAAAAAGGCCTGCATGCCTTTGTCTAGATAATGGTTGACTCCCACATGCTGGTTGCTTTTGCAGAATAAACAACTTTGTTTTTGCCAAAGTCTGGGGTCTTCCCTTCAGCGATTTTTGGATCATTACAATGGGTCATATAAGTGCACATACACAAACAAAATAAATAGAGTTGGTGTGGTAGCATACATTTAGAATTTCAGCACTTGGGAGGCAGATGTAAGTACATCTCTGTGAGTTCAAGGCCAGAGTGGTCTGTCTACACAGTGGAACAGATCAGTCAGGGCTATAGAGCAAAACCTGGTCTCAAAAATAATTTTTTAACAGTTCTGTTAGTATTAGATATTTCTTTTCGTTCATTTTGAGGTAATACCTTTTTCTAACGTAAGCTGTCTTGGAACTTGTTGTCATCCATACTGGCCTTGAACTTCAGTATGCCCCAGCTCTGCCTCTGGAGTGCTGGGATTCCAAACACATGCTACCACTCCTGGCTTTAAGGATAGATTTTCTGGGGCTCGATTCAGCAGCACATATACTAAAATTGGAACGATACAGAGAAGATCAGCATGGCCCCTGCGCAAGGGTGACACGCAAATCCGTGAAATGTTCCATATTTTCTATGGGGGGGGATGGGGAAAAGGGATCACATCTGAAATGTAAATAAATAAAATACCAATTTAAAAAAAGAAATGTAAAAAGACAAAAAAAAAAAAAGATACACACACACACACACACACACACACACACACACACACACAGAAGAATAGATTTTCTGAATGCCTGCTTCAGGTGCTGGCTGCTGGAGGATGTCTGGGGGAGCGCTTGTCCTTTCTGGAGTAGGGAGTGTTCCTCTGTCACGCGTATGCCACAGCTGTGGCTTCTGAAGAATGCTTTCCAAAATGCAAATATCCTCAGAATCCTTTTAAAGGAGACTAAGCAGCAGCAGATGGATTCCCCTTTCACTGACTGGTTATTTCAGTCTGGTTTTATTTGTGACAGTGAATGCTTCATAGGTACTCTGGAAACCCACTGGGCTCCCCCATCCCACTCGGCTGGAAGGGGCCTGTGGGGGTGGGGTGGGGTGTGGTGGGGGTCAGGCTCTGCAGCAGGTGCTGAGGGGACCAGCAGGGTTGCTGTGATTGTGCCAATGCCTGAAGAGCTTCAAAGCCACTTTCCTAAATAACACCTCAGATTTCCCTCTATCCAGGACAGAGCTTGGGGCCTTTCTCTCTCCTTATCCTGAAGTCCAACAGAATGAGGACAGCCACCTGGGGGAGTCACCTGGTCCTTTTCCAAGTCTTGGAAGCCAAGGAAGCAAACTTTCAGAGAACTCAGTTGGATTCTGCTAAAGCCTCAGCAACCTGTATAGGAGCCAGGGTGTTGGCTGGGATCTTCACAGGTTGGCTCCCAGTCATCTAACATGGCTGTATTACTACCGATGCCTTGGGGATGGCTGGGTTCCAGCGCCACAGCATGTACGAGTGACTCACCGCACTGGCCAGCAGCCCCCAAACACAGTGTCCAGATGATTATCTGGGACTGTTCTATCTCAGTATCCCTCAGTAAGGAAGCAGCCTACGGGAGAGAGGGAAGTGTCCATGGAATGATGACTCAGGGGCTTCAAAGGTAAAATGGACATAGCAGACAGTCAAACTCTTGCCCAGAAGGTTCCGAGTCTAGGGTTGTCACCTGCAGGCTCGCATTCAGGCAAAGGTGGCCAGTGTAGGAAAACGAGAGGTCCAGCTGAACGGTCCCAGTCCTGGAGGGTGACATCTGAGCTAAGTGCAGGGATGAGGTCACCTACTGTAAACAGTGTTGTAAGGGCTAGCACAGTGATGACGTCACCTGCTGTAAGAGCTCAAGCCCTCCTTGGAAACTGGGACTTTGTCCCACTCACACAGTGATTAACTTGCAATGCAATCTCCCACAGGTCACTGAGCTGTCAGATCCTCACAGGACCCCAGCTCCTACTCACAGGCCTCTTTCTCGACCACCAGACGTAAGCATAAGGGCTAAAACTCTCCACACAGTCAGTGCCTTAGGCAGGTTGTGGGCTCTCACTGCTGCTCTGCCCCTGGGGCTGAGTTAGGGGCTGCAAGAACGGACAATCCCTTCTCCAGAGACAACTTCAGTTGCTCCTGCACTACAGTGAGCCAAGCTGCGCCTGGAGTTGAAGAGGGCCTCACTGGTGAAGAACACAAACAACAAACCCAACCTGCTTTTTTTTTTTTTTTTTAATGGCCATGTATCTGCATGGTCCATGGTTCTTACATATGAAGACTCAGTCTTGAGGCAGGGTCCTTCTGTGTATCCCACACTAGACTCAAACTTGCAATCCTCCTGCCTCAGCCTCCCAGTGCTGAGACTGCAGGCATGCTTCATCACACTTGGCCTCCCATTTATCTGAGCTACACAGAAAAGTTCAACACGTTTGAGACCCCAGGCAAGTCCTGCCAGGATCCAGGATGCCTCAGCTGTCCTGGGCTTTTAAGGAAGAAAGGAATCAGAGGGACAAAGGCCGAAGAAAATATGGAAGAGAACCAGGCCTGGTTCAAGTAGGCTCAACACACAGGGGAAGCGAGGAGCTGTGCAGCTTCCTTGGAGTTTGCTGGAGGTCTAGAGAGAAGCTGCCCGATGTATGCTTAGACATGGCTTTCATCCACAACCTTCCCCCTTGAGACCTGAACGCCCAGTGGTTCTGCAGATGGGTATGCATAGCACATCACGGTCCAAGAGGACAGTGGCACTAGAGTTGACCTATGTATTCAGAGGGTGAAGCACCCTCAACTGTATGGAGAGTGGTGGTCTTCAGTAGGTGGCCAAAGACCCTGTTAGTTACTGCTCCTGGGAGGAGCTCATGGTGCCGCAGCTGAACCTAGAGGAGAAACCAGTGACTCAGGAGTCACCCTAGCTTGTCTTACATGTGCTCACCATGATCTGAGAGCTTCCAGCCTGGGGGGTGGTCTGTGGACAAGGATAGAGGAGAGGACATGTCCTGGAGCTTCCGTGCCCCCAAGCCTGTGGCAGGAGTTTGGATGGTGGAACTATCTAGAACTCACACCTTCTGAGCCCGTCCTTTGCCATCAGGGTACTTTCTTCTACAGTCTTATCCAGTTTAAGTTTAAAAAGAAACCTGGAAATTTCCACTCAAGCCCAGAAGGTAGAGTGAAGAATTACACGAGCTTCTCCACATGCAAAGCTGGGTCACTCGGTACAAGTTGTCGTTGGCTTGTCTCCTTAGCAAGCAGCCTGTGTGTGTGCTGTCTGATGTCTCCAGGACACAGGGAGTAAGAGAGAAAACATAAAGCTAAACACAACATAAAACCCATCCAGACTACAGTTCATTACAGAAAAATATTGTCATGGAATAAAATGTAAACTAAAGTTCTTTCTTTGGGTTGTGCTGGAATTGTGATTTAAGACACTTTCCGATCTTTTTGACAATACCACAAGTTTTAGTTTCTTACCGTTTAGTAACTTGATATGACCAGCAAGGGTAAATTCTATTATTTTCTGATCATTTCTGTTGTGGCTGGGCAGCTGTACATTTCCATTAATCATACTCAAGGGGAGCCAGACCACACACTGTGAAATAGCATCACGTCACTAAAGGCGTCTCATGGCCGGGCTGGGAGATGATGTAATCAGTACACACACACACACACACACACACACACACACACACACACACACACACACACAGAGAGAGAGAAATACTAAAGTTCACGACATGTGAAACATACATGGTTTTCCGATATGGAATCATATAATGAGGAAATTTTGACTCACCCATACATTATTGAACATTTCATTACTGACCACATCTCTGTATTACATACATTATATTAAGGTCCTGAGTTCAGTTCCCAGCAACCACATGGTGGCTCACAAGCATCTGTAATGGGATCTGCTGCCCTCTCCTGGTGTGTCTGAAGACATCGACAGTGTTCTCATATGCATGAGTAAGTCAATCTTTGAAAATACAGCTACTGAATGTACTGCATAGGTTTACAGTAGCTGGCTCAGGCCACTGCATTATGGGGTAACCAAAAAAGCTCAGCCACCCTGAGTTCTTTTCCAATATACTTTTTAAGACCAGCATCCTTCTATATGGGATGATTTCATTAGTCTAAACTCAGGGAAAGGATGGTGGAGCTAAGGACAGGAACTTTACCAAGTGCTTGATGCAGGCTATGTAGAGTAAGTCGGGAGCCGTCGGTCACACGTAAAGGTCAAGCAGTTAATCTGCTGCACACATAGTTGGGGAACACTCTTAGGATGTGGTAGTGCAGGGAGAAGAGGGATAACAAACTGCCTCTCACAGAGGTGATCAATACTAGGTATTTCTGTGTGTGTGCTGGGTTGTGACATAGGGCTGAATGTACTAGTTCATCTCCGCATCCTGTTACAAAGGACTGCCTCAGAAAGCTCAGAGGATGGAGCCCAATCTAGACAGTTAAACCTTTCCACAGATCTTGGGGGAAGCTGCCCAGTCAAAATGCCTACACTCAGCATACTGTCTAGACAAGCCCATGCTCTGGGACTTACAGACTATCCAAGACACCCTTAAAACTGGCCGGTGCCAAGCTATCTTTTCTGGCAACACTTACTGGGAAGTTCTACTCAGAAGAACCAAGTTTCTGCTCTAGTATACTCTAAACAGTAAATTACAAATTTAATGTATTCCCAGAACAGACGTAAAATTGGTATTGATCCAGTTTTGCTGGTATTTGGAAATCCTAGGAGGAGGAGACCTTTACTCCTCACTGAAATGCTGTCTGCTTAATCGATCAATTGCTCAAGTTTCTGAATATTCATAGTATGAAATACATCATGTCAAGAGATTCTGAACTTTAAGACTTCTTACAAAATATATAATATATATTATATGGTATGATATATTATATATAAATTATATGTAATTTATTTATTTTGCAGTTCTCCAGTTTCCAGCTGTATAGATACTCAGTCTACCTACAACTTCTTCCACTGCCGTTCTCACTATAAACTACATTCCAGCTGGATGCCTACCACCAACTTCCTATGTGAAGACAAGCGTAAAGACTGACGGCCCTGGTTGACAGTCCACAGCCAGTCTGAACTTTACCCTGGAGAGCCGCATCTCCCATCTGTATACCTGGGCCATTCTGACACTGCTTCTGCTGTCAAGTGTGCTCAGTGCCAGAAACGTCAGAGAGTTTAGATTTCTCCAGAGTGCCCGCAGGAGGGACTCTATGAAGCAGTCCCGTGTTGCACCCGCATAAGGTCAGGTTCCACAGCATAAATATCCTTTCTTCAGGTTCGTTATTGTTTTATGCCCAAATTACATCTGCCTATGTGACAGAAACCCATTCTTGTATCCAGAGAGCTTAAAGAAAAATGCTCACCGACTCGACCTTCTTTTCATTTTGTGTGGCTTCATTTCAAAAATAGAAGTTCAATAACCAAGGAAACGGGCTTGTGCTGAGATGGAATTTGTCACCTCGCTGCTTAGATCTAGCTGCTTTATTAAAAGAATCCGGGTTTGTTACTTAACCCATTCAATCTGAAGGGACCCTCTTTATATGCTCCTCTGGTATCCAAAAGCTATTAGGTTTTCAATTAAGTGCCCCATTAGA